TGTTTGTTTGTTTTTTGTTTTTTGTTTTTTCAAGACAGGGTTTCTCTGTGTAGCTTTGCGCCTTTCCTGGAACTCGCTTTGGAGACCAGGCTGTCCTCGAACTCACAGAGATCCGCCTGCCTCTGCCTCCCGAGTGCTGGGATTAAAGGCGTGTGCCACCACTGCCTGGCTTAGATAGGGTTTTCATTGCTGTGAAGAGACACCAGGACCACAGCAACTCTTATAAATGAGACCATTTCACTGGAGTGGCTCACTTACAGATTCAGAGGTTCAGTCCATTATCATCACGGCAGGGAGCATGGCGGTGTGCAGGCAGACATGGTGCTGGGGTAGTAGCTGAGAGTTCTACATCTTGCAGGCAACAGGAAGTCGACTGAGACACTGGGACTATCCTGAGCATAGGAAACCTCAAAGCCTGTCCCCACAGTGACACACCTCCTCTAACGAGGCCACACCTCCTAATAGTGCCACTCCCTATGAGATTATGGGGGCCCATTACATTCAAACTGCCACACTAGGGATGGGTCCCAGGGCCTGAGCTAGGCCAGCAGCCTGTCACTGAACTAACCACACCCCTAGCTTATACTCAAACTTTTTTTTTTAGATTTATTTATTTTTATGGGTCCCCCCACACACATGTGTGCATGTGCACCAGATTTCCTGGAGCTGGAGTCACAGATGGTTGTGAGCCATCATGTGGGTGCTGGGAACTGAACCTGGGTCCTTTTCAAGAACAAATGCTCTTAGCCACTGAGCATCTCTCCAGCTCCAAAACACCTTTTTAAAAACAAATTTTATAATCTCTCTCTGTGTGTGTGCACCTGTGTGCACATTTGCACATGTGAATGCAGGTATCCAAAGAGACCAGAAAATGGTGTTAGATACCTGGAGCTGGAGTTACAGGAGGTTGTAAGCCAAACAATGTGGGTGCTGGGAACCGAACTGGAGTCCTCTGAAAGAATAGTGAGTGCTCTTAACTACCGAGCCAGTCTCTCCAGCCTCACTTAAACATTTCTGAGACCAAGTCTCTCTCTAGACCAGGCTGGCCTTGAACTCACAGAGACCCACCTGCCTCTGCCTCCCAAGTGTTGGGGTTTCGGGTGTGTGCCACCATGTCCAACTAAATGTCCTTTGCTAATTGAAACTCACAATCACTTTAAGCTACTCTGTCTGTACTGCTGCTCCAGGTATGTGTGTGCATGTACATATGTGTGTATACATGCATATATACACATGTATATATGTATATACATGTATGTATGTGTATGCATATATATGTATGCATGTATAGATGTGTGTACATATATGTGGATATGTATATAAATTGTGTGTGTGTGTATAAGTGTGTGAGCATGTGTGTACATGTGCATGTGTGTGTGCATTGTGTACACGTGTGTGGGCAAGCACATATGTATAAATATGGAGGCTGGAGCTTGATGTTGGGTGTCTTCCTCGCGCTCTCTCTCTCTCCTTTTCTTCTGAGACAGGGTCTGCCTCTGGCCCTGCTAGCTCACCGATTCAGCTAGCCTGGCTGGCGTGTAAGCCTTAGGGATCCTCCTCCTTCCTATCTCCACCCCCCCAGCGATGAGATCAGGCGTGTACTACCACACATGGCTTTCACACGGGTGCTAAGGACTGAATCAGGTCCTCACGCTTGCACACGGCACTTTATCAATGGAGCCGTCTCCCCAGCCCCTCTGTTCATGGTTCTGGTTCTTTATGGCTCTTGGCCAAATGTCCCAAACCAAACTGTTTGGAAAATGATTTCCAGCCGCAGGTCCGCTGGTCAGTCACTCAGGGACCCCCCGGGTGCTGGTCCTCGGCGCAGCTGCGTCCATCACCTGCAGTGTTGGTTTGTGCTTGCTGGAGTTTACTCTTTGCTAGCCCGAGATAGGAGTGTGCTCACAGACAAAGGTCTTATCACGGTGCTTGCAGTCCTGCAGGGCTCCCAGGACGTTCCTTGGCAGGTACAAGACAGACAAGGTCCTTGTCCTGGTGGACGGGAGCTGGAGTCAAGGGACAGACAAGCGGTGGTCATCTGGGGAACTGCTCCAGTCAGGACATCTTTGAGGGTACGCACACACAGAGTGCTGTGGGCAAAAAGGGGAGAAGAGGCTAGCTATGGTGGTGCACACCTCTAATACTAATGCTAGGGAGGCTGAGGCAGGGGGATTGTAAGTTTGAAGCCAGCCTGGGCTACATAGGAGACCCTTCTCTAAAATCAAGAACTGATGCTAGGCATGGTGATACCTGTGATCATGACACCTGGGAGCTAGGCATGGTGGCACACACCTGTGATCACGACACCTGGGAGCTAGGCATGGTGGCACACACCTGTGATCACGACACCTGGGAGCTAGGCATGGTGACACACACCTGTAATTATGATACGTGTGAGGCGGAGGCAGGAGGATCACAAATTCAAACTCATCCTTGACCACACAATGAGTGCTAGGTCAGCCTGGGCTCTATGAGACAAAACTCCCCGCCCTAAAAAAAAAAAGGGAGGGGGGCAGATTAAAAGACAGACTGGTGCTGCTTTGGATCAGTTTTTTGCAAAGAATAAAAAGGTGGCATTTTACACTCTCACCTGGGACAAAAAAGCTAAAGGACTGCAACGGAGTTTGTCTCCTGCTGGACACGGGCCTTTCCTGCCGGGTAGAGCTGCAGAGTCCCACCCTGTCCTCAGCTCTGCTTGGCTTCCCTGAAGACCTGAGGGAGGACCATGAGTAAGTCCCGTCATCCCTCTGCCTTGGGTTCCCCAAGAGGAAAGCAGGGAGGGGACCTGAGGAGGATGCCTGCTTCCCCATCTGTTAGAACCATATGGTCCCATTTTGCAGTGGTAAAACCAAAACAAGACATGTGGGGGTGCCTGGGATGTGCAGGGCTGTGTGTGTGTGTGTGTGTGTGTGTGTGTGTGTGTGTGTGTGTGTGCGTGCGTGCGTGCGTAGCTGCTGTGGCTGTCTCTTCTAGAACTGTGCTGAGCCATGCAATGCACTGGCCTGCTTCACGGTGGAATCTACTCTTCTCCGGCCCTCCGGCACCCCCATCTTGGCCACTGTCCTGGGCTGCAAGCCCCCACTCCTGCATCCTGTACGAGGCTCTTACCCCCGTACCTGAGCAAGTTACAGGTCCCTGGGACTCTTAAGAAATTGCCCAGCCTGAGCAAAAATCCCATGTGCACCCTGGGACCCGGAGCAGGGCCAGGCAGCCTCCCTGCCGGGGGCTGGCCAGAGAGACCCGTCTGGTTTGGATTGCCAGCGGCGCCTCTCACTCCCTGCCTCAACCCACAGCCCATGTCCAAGCAGCCAGGCTGGTGCCTTATTTGGGTCTTGTCTCCCCCCCAGGATGACACTTCATGGCCTTAAAAGGCAGGCGCAGGGGGCTGAGGAGGGCAGTTACCACTGTTGGCTGGAGAGGCCCTCCAGCTGCGCCTTCCGTCCTTGGCTTGGCCAGCCGGTCCCTCCAGCTGTGTGGAAAACCAGGCCCATGAAACCAGAGCAGCCAGGCTGGATAATCCTTCTGGGTGCAGAGGGGGCAGACTCCTGGAACAGGCAGCCAGCCTCTCCCTGGCTTTCATTTGAACATATCACTTTGGTCTTTTCTCACTAAGTGGGGTATGGAGAGCAAGCTCAATCATTTATTGAGCATCTACTGTGTACCTGAGCCCTGTCTATGTACAGAAGACCTGTGCACACGTCACCCTCTCCTGGCCTTGCCAGACAAGAACAGAGGCCTTAGTGTTGCAGGTCAGAGAGGACAGATCCCACAGATCAGTAAGTAGAGGAGCTGAGCTTGTCCCTTGGCTCTGCCACTGGCTGGGCTCACTGGGGGAGCCTTCAGCTTTTGTGTGGCCCCCACAGGTGGCCGGCCTCTCCCACCAGCCCATCGAGGAGTCAGCCTCCTTTAGTCCTGCCTCCTTATTGCTGTGTGACCCAGGGAAGTTATCCCACCTCTCTGTGCTTCTCTGTGCATTAAGGGGAGCAGAGATCCCCGTTGGGGCGCCAGCACGCACGGCTGTCTGGTGGGGCAGGGCTGGCTCAGGTCAGCAGACCCTTAGCCCACTTCCCTCCATCGCAGGCTCCCCTGGCTTCCCGGAGCCCACATGGCCAGGAAGCACCATGCGGCGGATGGCAGTACGGCCCACAGCATTCTCAGGTGGGTCCTGAGGCAGCCTGGGGAATCTCCGGACTGGAGGAGATCGAGGGTGGACCCAGGGCAGTGTGCGGCAATTGTCCCTGGAAGTCATCTGGGTCCCGAAGTAGAGGATGAAGGGTAACACGTCTTTACCTCAGCCCCTGGACAGAGAGCCTCAAGGCAGAGGACGAACCCGGAGGGGAGTCACACTGAGACCTGTAACCCCAGGCCAACACCCCAGTTTCCTCTCTGTACTGGGACCCAGAGGCTTCAGCCAGATGCTTTCAAACCTCACAGCTGCCCACAACACTACTCTTAGGAGAAGGAAACCGAGAGTCAACTGAAGCCTTACCCTGCCCAGGGTGCCATAGCCAGGAGTGGGCAGCCCTGACTCCTCTGAGTTGTGTGGGTTACTGTGCTGGGCACTCACTGCACCTTGTCACAAACTCAGTTGCCTCCGGTGTGGCATTTGTGTCACACAGGGCTACAGTGAGGAGGACCAGGGCTGGCAGTTTGCACACGCCTCATTAAAAAAAAAAAAAAAAAAAAAAAAAAAAAAAAAAAAAAAAAAGTCAGAAAAGCTGGAGTGTGGTTCTGTAATACAGCCAGACAGTGGTGGTACCTGTGAGGCCAGTAGCATCCCAACTGTGGTCTGTTGGTCCCCAGAGCGGGTGGGCCCAGGCTCCACCCCTGCCGGGTAGGAAACAACAGAGTTTCCTGCCTGTGGCTTCTGGAGTTGGCGTTTGGATGCTGAGACCGTCAGAACCAGGGCCCCGGAGCCTGCATTGGGAGGAAGGGTCCTCTCTGGAGGCTCTGGAATGGAAGGAACCCCGAGGGGTGATGCCCACCTGGGCTGCAGAGTCACTGCTCCCCACAGATTAGGGTCATTAGTACCTGTCTCCCCCAAGGGTGAGGACTCTAAGGGGACCTAGGAGTTCTGGCCTTAGCCTCAGCCTTCCCCCTTCCCACAGGTTGTCTCAACTGCAGCAGAGTGTCTGAGCTGACTGAGAGGCTGAAGGCGCTGGAGGCCAAGGTGGGTGAGCAGCTCCCCTCTTGCCCTGGGCCTTGGAGACCTTGGCCTCGCCCTCTCCTTCCTGCACCCCCGTGCCCATCCTCTGAGCTTCCGTGCTCGGGTAGACTGCTTTCCACAGGCATGGCCCAGCCCCTGCCTGATGTCCATCCAGCTCTTTGTCCCCTGCTCCTCAGTTGCTGTCCCTATGAGGCTGCCGCACAGCCCTACAGCCCGGTGCCCGTCCCTACAGCCCAGTGCCCATCCCTACAGCCCGGTGCGCCGTCCCTACAGCCCGGTGCGCCCTCCCTACAGCCCGGTGCGCCCTCCCTACAGCCCAGTGCCCTCCCTACAGCCCAGTGCCCATCCCTACAGCCCGGTGCGCCTGTCCCTACAGCCCGGTGCCCTCCCTGCAGCCCGGTGCCCTCCCTACAGCCTGGTGCGCCCTCCCTCCAGGAGGCTGTAAAACCCCCTCCCATGAGGCCCAGCTTCAGGCAGATAACACATCCCCCAGCACAATGACAGACCCTGCCTGCCCCTCATCTTTGCCCTTATCCTGCCCCTTCATACCGTTATATATAAATGAAAATGCCCGTTACACATCTCATGCTATCTCAAGATAAAAAGCGTTCGAAGGTTACAAAATAAGACAGTTAAACACAATCCTGAACGTAGGGTCAGGAAAAATCAGAAATCCAGAAAACTGTTTGCAGAGACTCCCTGTGTTCCAGAGAGAAAACGGAGAACTTTTGAGACAGGATCTCACCATGTAGCCCTGACTGGCCGGGAACTCACTGTATAGACGACACTGGCCTCCTACTCAGAGGTCTACCTATCTTTTTAAATCATGTGTTTGTTCGTTCATTTGTTTATTGTATGTATGCGGGGTTCTCTACATCCAGCACGTGGGTGCTAGGAACCAAACTCCTCAGGTCACCAAGTTCAGTGGCAGGACCTTTACTCAGAATCCCCTCACCAGCCCCTCTCTTCTTTTGAGAGAGGGTCTCACCTATCCCAGGCTGGCTTCAGGCTGGCTGCAGAGCTGAGGATGACCTCCTGCCGCACCTGCTGCGTGCTAGGATTGCAGGTGTGCACTATTTATGTGGTGCACTATTTATGTGGTTTATGTGGTACTAGGATCAAGCCCAGGGCTTTGTGCAAGCTAGTCACGCCCTTCACCAGTGCACTAAAAGACCACCTGTTCTCTTTCCCTTTTCTTTCCTTTTTAACTGGTAGTGTCTTAATTAGGGTTCTATTGCTGTGAAGAGACACCACGGCCACAGCAACTCTTATAAAGAGAACATTTCATTGAGGTAGCGGCCTACAGGTTCAGAGGTTCAGTCCATTATCATCACGGCAGGGAGCATGGCTGCGTGCAGGCAGACATGGTGCTGGAGCAGGAGCTGAGAGTTCTTACATCTTGACTCACGGGCAACAGGAAGTGCTCTAAAAACACCAGGCACTATCTTGAGCATATATGAGACCTCGAAGCCCCCTCCACGGAGACACACTTCCTCCAACAAGACCACACCCACTCCAACAAAGCCACACCTCCTAATAGTGCCACTCCGTTTGTGGGCCCATTTTCCTTCAAACCACCACAGGTGTATTGCTATGTAGTGTAGGCTGGTCTTGAACTCTAGATCTTCCTGTCTCTACCCTCTTAGTAATTGGGATTGCAGCCATAAGCTGCCACCTTTTAAAAAAAATGTATTTCTTTGTGTATGGTGGGCATGTGAGAGTGCTGCAGTGTGTGTGTGTGTGTGTGTGTGTGTGTGTGTGTGTGTGTCAGAGGACACTTTGGGGTGTTCTTTTCTTCTACTCTGTGGGTCCCTGGAATTGAACTTAGGTTAGTAGGATTGGCTGTAGGAACTTTTACCCGCTGGGCCATCTCACTGGCTCTAAGCTACCACTTTTTTGGTTTTGTTTTGTTTTTCGGGACAGGGTTCTCTGTGTAGCTTTGGTGCCTATACTGGAGCTCGCTCTGTAGACTAGGCTGGCCTCAAACTCACAGAGATCCGCCTGCCTCTGCCTCCCAGTGCTGGTATTAAAGGTGTGCACCACCACCACCCAGCAACTACCACTTTTTAGTCATCTTTTTCTTCCAGGGTTTCCGGACATGCGTAGACACACACTGTCTTCTTGCTCTGCTATAACCCTCCTCTGGGAACTTGTCCTGATCAGATGTGAGGAAGTTTAATAAAGTGTTAACTGTCATAGGGAAATCTGGAAGCCAGATTCCTGAAGGAGAAGGAGCAGTTACATAATTACAGACCCTCCGCTGTGAGGACAGACCACCGTCTTTTCCTGACCCTGGGTCGGGGAGCTTGGCATACCTGCAGAACCTTCTTCTTTGCCCTAATGTGGGTGTGGGGTATCAGGCCCTCCCAGTTTCCCCTGCAAAATCTCAGTGCTGCAGCACTTACTTGGCATGTTGGGAGGCAGTAGGCTAGTCTTCTGCATGCATGCACCCATGCTCCCCCGCCTCTCTCTCTCACACACACACACACACACACACATACACACACACACACACACACACACACACACACACACACACACACACCTCCTCCCAACCCGCTGTGGAACTTTAACAGAAGCAGCATACTCTTATGGCCAACAGATCCCATGATCACGGAGCTCAACTTGGGTGGCAGGGGCATTGGGAATGACTGTTTCATGGTGCATATGATCAATGGTGACACTTGTAATGACATTCTGGGCCCCTTTGAGCCCAAGGTCTCCACTCTGCTGGCTTCTTGGGCCTCCTGACCCCCAAGGCCAAGGCTGGACTATCCCTAGTGAGTTCCTGGCGCCTGCCCATCTCTGTCTTCCTCCACAGGTGGCTGTTCTGAGTGACACAGGATCAGTGTCCTCGATCCCAGCTCCTCCTGAGGACTCTGCCCTGCTTTGGGGATCCCCAGCTACCCAGGGCAGCCCTGGAGATGGAGACCTGCAGGGTAAGAGGCAAAGCAGGGTACATCCCCCCATGTGATAGTTCAAGTGGAAGAAATGCCCCGTCTGACCCCTCAGGGCCGGCCTTTGTCCTCCCAGCTCTCCAGTGGACCTGACTGGAAGTACCTGGGGACTCCTGAGCACTGGAGTCTGGGCAGCAGACAGTTCCAATTCAGGAGGCGGGTCTGGGATCTTCCCTCCCAGGCCCAGCAGGGGTGCTGATGCCTGCTTAACTGCTCCAGGGTTTACTAGGAGCCAGTGGGAATGGGAGGGGCGCACAACTACCTCAGGATAGTCAGGGCTGTCTGAGGGACCAGCTCGGGTGAGGGTCAAATGCAACCCCAGAGTTGCCAAGTTCATGTTCTTTACTCTGCAGACAGAGTTGATCCTTGGGAGCTGCCTGGGCCCACTGGCCCCAAGGGAGACACTGATAGCCAGGGCTCAGTGAGGATGAGAGGCCCACCAGGTACGTGCCCACGGGGCTGCCTCCCAAGCTTCTTTTTTGTATTGTATTGTATTGTATTGGTTGGTTGGATTTTCTTTGTTTGTTTGTTTGTTGTTGTTGTTGTTGCTGTTGCTTTCATTGTTTGAGATGGGGTCTCCCTATGCAGCTTTGGCTGGCCTGGTGCTTGTTAGGTAGACCAGGCTGGACTTGAACTCATGGAGGTCCACCTTTCTCGGCTTCCCAAGTGGTAGGATTAAAGGCGTGCGCCCCCCAGCTGGCTCTCTTCAGCTTCTTTAGGCATGCCTCCTGCCAGGGGACTCAGAGGATGCTTTCATTGGCATAGTCGAGGTGGACAGGCCCAGTCCACTTACCGGGCCTTGGCTCGCCAGCCCTGCAGTGGTGCCCGTTCATGCCTGGGCTGTGAAACTGTCTTGGTCCACTTGGCTCAGGCACTCCCTTCAGCAGACCCTGAGCTGGGCACTGGCTGGGACCAGCCCAGTCTTTGCCTCCGGGATGGGGGATAGCTAGGCCGATGAGAAATAACAGTGCCTGACCCCTCTGACCAGGTTCTGTGGAGGACACTGGGAGGTCTGGGAGCCCTATAGAAGGAAGCCCAGAACTGCTTGGCTGAGATAGAGGGCACGATGCTGTGTTCTTCCCTGACACAGATGGCCAAGGAGGACAGGCCTATGCACTTCGGAGCCTTTGGAACCCACTGCCCCAGACTTCCTTGTCCCTGCCCACCCTATGCCCACCAATCCCTGTTCTTAACCGCAGGTCCACAGGGACCCCCAGGACGCCCTGGCCAGACCGGAGCTGCAGGCATTCCTGGAGAGATGGGCCCTCCCGGCCCTCCAGGCCCTCCTGGGCCCCCAGGACCTCCAGCCCCTGCTGGGCCACCCCATGCCCATATCTCCCTGCATGGTAAGTCCTCCCTGGGGTCCCAGTGGGTTGAGGCGGGGTAACCGAAGTAGCCATAACCCTGGTACCTGTTACCATCTATCATGTGACATCTATCATGTGACATCGTGGGCCGGGCTTGCTCACCTGTCACCCTGTTGTTCAGCAGGTGCTGCCAATCACAAAGGAAGGTCACGTGCCACGTCCACACCCTGGGGAGAGGGAGAGGGGTTTCACGCCACATGCTCAGAAACACCTGGCATTAGGCCCGCCCCGTGCCTCAGAGCTGGCTGCAGTCCAGTGCTCAGAGTGCCGGGGAGCTCAACGTCTAACTCAAGACGTGAGCTCTGAGCTCCCAAGGCCACAGCCCTAGTCCTGTTGCTCAGGGTGGCTCCGGCCCCCTCCCCCAGCTGAGCACCAGCATGGATCCCAGGCATTTCCTGCAGGTAGCCGGGCCTGACCTACCCACACGCTGCCAGAGGTTGGAGCGGTCGGACAGCTCAGTGGCAATTTCAGCCTCAACCGCATTGTTCTTATTTATATTTTTTTAAGACAGGGTTTCTCTGTGTAGCCCAGGCTGGCCTCCAACTCCCAGAGATCCGCCTGCCTCTGCCTCCCGAGTGCTGGGATTAAAGGTGTGCGCTCCCACCGCCCGGCTCCCATCCTTGGTGAGTGACTGGGTACCATTCCTTATTCATTCTCTCACCTCATCGTTTATTCCGTCTCATCCTTCTTGGTTTTGCTCCTAGCCTCAGTGTCCTTGTTTGTACTGTGCCGATGACCACAGTGCCCCCCCCCCCCGCCAGGGGAGCCCCCATGATCCTCAGTGCATAGCCGCCTGAGACGCGGTAGACAGTTGGTGAAAGGCTGCTTTCACTCTGGTGCTCATCGGCAAGGGACAGTCCCGGGTCACCAGCTAGACTGTGGCAGGGTGAGAGCCAAGGCTCCCTTCCTCTGTACCTGGCAGCAGGGACCGGTGACCCTGTCTGTGCCGCAGGCTGTCCCATAGGGCAGCCAGAGCCAAGGCGGCAGAGGTGGCAGGCGGTGACTGTTCCTCTCCCCCCCGCCCCACTCACTCACTCTCTTTCCCTTGCCAGGAGATCCATTTCTGTCTAATACCTTCACCGAGACTGGCAGCCACTGGCCCCAGGGACCCACGGGGCCCCCAGGCCCTCCGGGCCCCCCAGGGCCCATGGGTAAGTTGAGTCCAGCCTGGGGTAAGGGTAGGGGTTGATAGGAAGCAGCAGCACTGAGCTGTGGCCATTAGGAAGGAGACAGCGGGTGGGGCACTGCTCAGCCTCGAGGTCCATTCCGTTCCTGAAGACACTCTGTCTTGCTCAGGTCCTCCTGGACTTCCTGGCCCCGCGGGTGCCCCTGGGAGTCCTGGACACATGGTAAGTCATTATCCAAGTTCTACCACCCATGCGTAACTCCATTCACCCATCTGTTCATCCGTCCATTCAGTAAGTACTTTGATATGCAAAGTGCTTTCCATAAATCTTCTTAACTCAATTCACCCAACAAGAAGCATCATTATCCCTTGAGGCGGTGAAAAGGGGGGATTCTTCAGGCTGCAGCCGGCACATGAGGTGGGGACGTCTGACCTGCCTGCTGCTGTGTGCTGGGCATACGATGAGACCTGGGCCAAGCTGGGGCTCCCTCCCCATTTCCTTTATCCCCAACTCCAGTCCTACCTACCCCCAGCACAAGGCTGAGGCCCTGTCTTGTTGTTCAGGGAACCCCAGGCCCTTCTGGACCCAAAGGAAGCTCTGGCCACCCGGGAGAGAAGGGTGAGAGGGTAAGTATACCGATGACCTTACGTGGGGGGTTCTGGGGAGTCCCAGGGGTCCGAGACGGTAGCTCTCACCAGCTAACTTAATTCTGTCCCCTCCTCTTACATAGGGACTGCCTGGGGAACCTGGCCCCCAAGGGCTAATGGGGTTGCAGGTAAGTGATGCAATCTCCCCCCTACCCACCCCTCCAGGATCCCATCATTCTAGGTTCCTGAACCTGGAGCACCCGACCCCCTGTGTGACTCAGAAAAGCTCCCCTTCATTGCTAGGACCCATCATCCATCCTTTCAACCTGTCTGGCTGTGGCTCTGTATCCATTTCTTTCTCTACATGCCTCGTCTCTTTGACTCTATCTTTCTCTTTGGTGGTGGTGGTGGTGTTTTCTTTTTTAGTTTTTTGAGACAGGGTTTCTCTGTGTAGCTCTGACTGTCCTGGATCTCTGTAGACCAGGCTGGCCTCAAACTCATAGAGATCCTCCTGCCTCTGGCCCCTGAGTGCTGGGATTAAAGATGTGTGCCACCACTGCCCGGCTTATATTTCTCTTTTTCATTCTCCATCTCTTAATGTAGATTCGTCCTTTTCTCCCTTTAATGTAGCCAATTTTTGCTTTATGTGTTTTGAATCTTTGTTATTAAGCAGATACATGTTCAGGATTTCAACGCTGCCTTTGCCTTTGTGGAATGAATATTCATATCTCTAGAACACTCATCTTGGATTGTGCTTTGTTGGCTGTTAGAGGAACCACACCAATGCTGTAATGCTTGCTGTCTGTGTCTGTTGGTGCCAGTGTATTTAAAGCACATCTCTTGTAAATAACACGAGTCTTGCATTTTTCAGAGTCTGCCGTTTAGTTCATTGATATTTTCATCATCTGCATAATTATCAACGGGGTTCTGTTTAAGTCAACCATCTGCAGTTGGTGTCTGTTTATCTGCTCTTTTCCCTGTTCCTTTTCTTGCCTTCTTCTGTAGTTATCGCTCTGCTTCTGAGCCACGTCCTCCCTCGCCTTCCTCACGATAGAGCACTTTGGGGTCCATTGCGCCCACTGATAGCTTTTTAGCAATCCCCCCTTTTTTGCAATTCCTATTTCTGTTGGGTTTTTTTTTTTCACAGTTGCTGAGAACAACATTGTCCTTCCTTCCTCACGTTACATGATTAACACATGCGTCGGTGTTAAAGCAGTTGTGAGTGTGTGTGTGTCACAGACTCGTGTAGGTGCATTGAATGTGTGTTCCATTCCATCCTCTCCTGTGCTGTCGCTGCTCTGTATTCTACTTCTGCATTTGCTAAAACACCCCACAACACTTGTTTGGAGAGAGCTGAGAACTGACCCAGGGCACTGAGCAGCTTTGTTAGCAAGTAATCTATCAGGAAGCTAGATCCTCAGACCCATAACGTCGTCTTCATCATCATCATCATCATCATCATCATCATCATCATCACTTTAAAGTCAGCTGGCGTTAAAAAAATAAAAGATAGCCAGGCAGTGGTGGTGCATGCATTTAATCCCAGCACTCAGGAGGCAGAGCAGGCACATCTCTGTGAGTTTGAGGCCAGCCTGGTCGACAGAGTGAGTTCCAGGACAGCCAAGGCTACACAGAGAAACCCTGTCTTGAAAAGAAAAGAAAAAAAAAAATTTAAACGCTGCACACTCTGCAGCCATAGTTTGAAAAATTATGGTTTGAAAATATTACCAAAAATAAAACAACAAAAAATAATCCCTGAGCCCATATTGACCATGTATGGATTTTTAAAATCATTATTCGTTTTTTTTTTTTTTTCTGGTTACTGGGGATCAAATCCAGAGCCTTGCCCATGCTACGGAAGCACTCTTATCACTGTATTACATCCCTAACCATCTTTTTTTATTAAGATTTATTTTTATTTTTGTGTATCTGTGTGTAAGTGTATCCCATTGGTGGTGGGAGGATCCTTGGAGGTCAGAAGAGGGTGTCATGTGTCCTGGAGATGGGGGTAGTTGTGAGCCACCCAACATGGGTACTGAGACCTGAACTCCGGACCTCTGGAAGTGTAGCAAGTGCTCTTAACCACTGAGCCATCTCTGCACCCCCCCCCACTCTACCCCCATTTTGAGACAGGGTCTGACTAAATTGCTTATACAGGCCCAGGTTCAAGAGCTTGTAACCTTCCTGCTTCGGCCCTTGAGTAGCAAGGACTCCACACCCGTGCCATCAGGCTCGGTTCTTATTCGTTCTTAAGCGGTACAGTAGCAACTGTTACAGAGCAGTTACATTGGCATCATAAAGAAGCTGGAGGCAGATGAACTCTTCTCTGTACACCTACAGCTTACATACAAAGACTAAGCCTTTTATTGGGGGATTTGAACACCTGTGGATTTTGGTACCCACAGGAGAATGAATTCCACATGAATACAGAGGGATGACTGTAGTTCTAAATTTGCTGATCATGTATCATTTCTAATACTATACTTTTCTGTAGGTCCAGATTTCTGTCTGTCCTAGTTAGCTTTCTGTGGCTGAGATACACATCATCACCAAAAGCAGCCTGGGGAAGAGAAGGTTCATTTGGCTTACAGGTTACAATCTGGCACTGAGGGAAGCCAGGGTGTGAGCTCATGGCTGGAAGTAAAGCAGAGACATGGAGGAGGACAACCTACTGGCTTGGTTTCCCTGGGACATGCTCAAGCATTTAATTATTTATTTAAAAATAAATTTTCCTGGCCGGGCGGTGGTGGCGCACGCCTTTAATCCCAGCACTCGGGAGGCAGAGCCAGGCGGATCTCTGTGAGTTCGAGGCCAGCCTGGGCTACCAAGTGAGTTCCAGGAAAGGCGCAAAGCTACACAGAGAAACCCTGTCTCGAAAAACCAATAAATAAATAAATAAAAATAAAAATAAATTTTCCTGCCAGGCAGTGGTGGTGCATGCCACCATACTCTTTAAAAAAAATTTCTTAATCTTTAAATTTTTTTAAATTTAAATTTTTTATTTTATTTACTATTATGTGTGTGTTTGATGGGGTGGGGGACATGTGTGGAACAGGACAGATTTTAGAAGTCATCTCTCTCCTTCCACTGTGGGTTCCAGGAATTGAACCACCAAGGCTCTCTGGCTTGCTCAGTTTCATCGAATCATCTTGATGGTCCAAAATATCTCATAGACATTTTATTAATTTTTTAGATTTCATTTTATGTGTATGAATGTGTTTGTGCACCACATGCATGCCTGATGCCTGCAGAGGTCAGAAGAGGGTGTTAGATCCCCTGGGACTGGAGTTACAGACAGTTGTGAGCTGTAATGTGGATGCTGGGAATTGAACCCAGGTCCTCTGCAAGAGCAAGGAGTGCTCTTTACCTCCGAGCCACCTCTCGAGCCCTTGTCATGGGCGTTTTAAATGCCTTGTCTCCTACTTACAGCACCTAGTTAGCTAGGGATCTGCTTCTGTTGACTGGTTTTTCTCTTAAATGTGCATCACATTCCTGTTTTTTCATATAGCTGTCGACTTCCATATGCTTAATTGGACGAGAGAGGTAATGTCTGAGGAACTCTGTTCTGTTATTTGCTTGAGAAGTGCTGAGTGCCCCAAGACAGCTAGATTACAGACCTCACTTCACTCTTTCAGGAATTGAGCTTCATCACAGAAAATCCATTTTGGGTTGGTTCTTGGTCCTAGCCCTGGCGTGTGTTCTTTAGCTTAAGGCCTGGATTTTCTGTGATTTCACGACAAAGCATTGGGTGTTTCCAAACTCTGTCTCCTATGTGATGGAAGTTATGGAAATCTGTGCTCAGTTCTACCAACCTGTTGTTTCTTCCCTGGGAGAAATCTCCCTCCCCCAGGATCAAACCCAGTGTCTCACTTACGCTGGACAGCTGCTCCACCACTGCCTTCACTCGGAGTGGTGAGTTTTTCTCCCTCACGCCCCCACCCCCACCCTTACTTCTGACTCTCCTTTCAGGGAGAACCTGGCCCCAAAGGAGACCCTGGAGAGAAGAGCCACTGGGTGAGCTACAGCCCTGCACCTGCCTCCCCTGCTTTCCCTGTCCTCCCCCTGCCCTGCCCTGCCTCCCCCTGCCTCTCCCCACCTCCTCCTATTTCCCCTGCCTCCATCTGCCTCCTCTACCCTCTCCTGCCCCCACCTGCCTCCCCCTGCCCTCCCCTGCCTCTCCCCACCTCCTCCTACTTCCCCTGCCTCCCCTGTCCTCCCCTGCCTCTCTCTGTCTCCCCATCCCCCTTCCCTTCCTTATCTCTCCCTCCCCTCCCCCTCCCCCCCCCTGCCTCCCGTCCCCTGGGTGCTCAGGAAAGAATCCTCTCACCAGTAGATGCTGGGTTGAGGGTGTCCTAGTCACATACGTACTGGAGCCCTGCTCCATTCCTCTCCTGGCACTCCCCGCTAGGCAGGGCCAGCCCTCCCAGCAGACCCCCACACACGCTCTGTCTCTGTCTCTGCCTCTGTCCTCACCCACTTACCCTCCGTAGCCTTTCCAAGCCAAGACGACTCTGCCTGTTCCTGCTGGGCCGTTTAGGTGACCCAGACACAGCTCCCCGCTTCCAGGGTCCCTCCTGCAAAGGTTTTGGCTTTGTCCTATTGTCTACAGAAGGAAAGGGCCTGTGAAGACAGTATCCACCCCAAGCAGAAAAGGGACCTTAGGAAAGTCAGGAAACGAAGAAGGGAAGCACAGGGGGTCCATGGAATAAAGGGCTGGGGACCTAGAAACCGACATACACATAGAGACCCCAGGAAGCTTGGGAAGCGGAACCTTGAAACCCTTATGTATATGGACATGGTTAATGAGGGCAGGAGAGCCAACTCTGTTGTCCCCAAAAGATCTGTACTAGGTACTATCACACACTTCAAGCAGTCCACAAGGGAAGCCTAGAAACTGTCATATGCACAGAGAACCACGGAAAATGAGATGAGGTGAGCTAGATACTACCAGCTACAAAGCCAACTGTGAACAATAGAAAGGAAGGTCTAGAAACTGTCACATGCACAGCAGACCTTGAGTAAATGGGAAGAGAAACCTAGGAACTGACACACTCAGAAATGCATGTGAGGTCCTGGGAACCTTCACGTGAGGTCATTGGAGATAACTAATGAACAGATTTGGGGCCTGAGAATCTACTCTGCCCAAAGACGCAAGGGCCTAGAACGAGCCATGCTCCGAAGTGTCATGATCCCACACCTGGCAACCGTTGCTGGCGTGATTGGAAAATAGGTAGGGTTCCAGTAAACATCCCCACAAGAAAGAGCCTGAGTACTCTTTAGAAAGTGGCATCCTGCCTTCCTGTCGGTCCTGAGAGCCGTTGGTGAGGGTGTGGCCAGCACCGGCCACGATCCATGTCTTCACTGTTTGTCATGGAGTCAGTGATGGATACAGCCGTGGTAGTCCTCAGCCCGCATGAGTGCACCTCCGTGTATCCCATGACTTCCAGGGGCCCTGCTACCTCCCCAAGACGCTTGCTTCCCCGCTCTCCAACTCACTCTTCCACTCCCTGTGGTCCCTGACCTTTGACAGTGTGGATGTGGACCCAGCAGGGAGACCCCTGGGAGCAACCCTCAGCCTCCCCTCACTCTCCCAGAGACCCTGGGTTTTTTCACCCATCCCAGAAGGTATAGGAAAAACCAGGTCACAACAGAGCCAGGCTGTGCAGTCCCTATCCCTGCATGGGGAGCCTTGGGCCACCCCAGGAGAGACCTTGAACCCAGGACCACCCAGGGGAGGGGCCCCCAAGAGGTAGCAGGACCCCCCACCTGCCCACCTTCCTCTTTTTACCACCTGCATTTCTGCCCCTGCTTGCTACCTGGGAGAGACTTCGCTGGGCTGGAGATGCATGAGGCTTCTGGGCTGAGGGACCAGCTCGGTTGGAGGTAGGTAGGGATCCTGGTACAGTGGAAACATCCTGTGGACACCTACAGACGCACCTCACCTACCAGCGCCCCCTAGGGGTCGTGCAGCTTTCAGAGCTGCTTACCAAGTTTAGCTGCGGCTCAGTAGTGTCACCAGGTGGCCACAGTCATGTACTGCAGGAGCTGAGTGACTGGTCTGAGTGACTCCACCTAGTTAAGAGGGAAGCCCTTATTCAGATAGGGAAACTGAGGCCCAGCTCTTCAGAGCGAGCTGGTGGCAAAGTGGGGCCAGAAGTGAAACGGGCGAAGACATCTAAATCCCCAGAGGGGCTAGGGAGCCCACTACTGCTGAGGGCTGGGCAGTGCAGAGAGATGCTTTGCAGAGTCAGTCCCCAGAAGTCACCATGAGCTGGGGCAAAACACTGTGTCAGCAGCCACAGGGCAAAAGGAATTTGGCTGTGTTGGGGCTGTAGTGTATTGGTGATGACAGGAACATAACCAGTCACGGGGTATTCAGACAGAGACGCAGGGCCAGGGTATGCAAAGGGCCTGGAGTCTGAGTGAGCCTGGGATGTTCACGCAGTTGCCGGTACTTGGAACAGCAGTTTGACAGGCAGGAAGCGAGACAGAGGCTAGAGGCGTTAGGAGGTCCTGTTAAAGAATTCGAACTTTGGTGGACCCTGGGGCATTTGTTTAAGTATTTCTAAACTGAAAGCCAGGCATGGTGGTTCACTTTGTAATCCCAGCATTCAGATGGCTGAGGCAGGAGGATGGCCACAAGTTCAAGGCAAACCTGGATTACAGAGTGGGATACTCAAGGATCTCAGAAACAAATAAGTTTATTATTTTTTTTTTAAATTAAAGAGTGAGAGGGAATGGTGTGGTCAGGTTTTTGTTTGCAAAGTATGTCTCTGAATGCCAATATGGAGGATGAATTGGAAACAGAAAAGGAGTCGAGAAGGCCGTGGGCATCCTGATCAGAGACATGCTGTAAGTGGGAGCATGGACAGGCAGCAAGGCAAACATGTGCGCGCGCATGCATGTGTATACAAGTGTGTGGTTGTGTGTGTGTGTGTGCATGTGCACGTGTATACAAATGTGTGGTTGTGTGTGCCCATGTATCATTCTCTGCCCTATTCCCTTGTGAGCTCACTATTTTTCAGCTAGGCTAGCATCCAGCAACCCCCTTTCTCTGTACCTGCCCAGCGCTGAGGTTGTGGGCATTTGGGTGGTTTTTTTATGTGAATCTGGGGCTCTAAATTCAGGTCCTCGTTCTTGGTAAGTGCTCTTACCATTGAACTATCTTCCCAGCCCCAGGATCATCCATTTTCACATCCTGCTCCATGATACTCAAAGAGGGATTACTTTGGCATGTGACCTAGTACCCCAGTACCCCAGGCTGAAATGGCAGTTCAGTGACCCATGAAGAGCTCAATCTTTATGATATTGACAGGACAGCTGGAACATAAGGAATATCCCCAGGGAATGAACAAACTCATAATGGACGCGTTGAAGTCCTCTTAGTTGCTTAGATATTCTTATGGGGAACCGCTTCAAAGGGTTGGATGGTAAGCCAGGTCTAGGGGCTCATGTCTGGAATTCCAGGTCATGGGAGTTTGAAACAGAAGTGGTGTGAGTTTGGGGCTAACCTGGGCTATAGAGTTGACATTATATCTCAAAGAAAACAGAACTGCATCCCAGCATTTGGGAGGCAGAGGCAGGCAGATCTCTTGAGTTTGGGGCCAGCCTGATCTACAGAGCGAGTTCTAGGACAGGCTCCAAAGCTACATGGAGAAACCCTGTCTTAAAATTAAAGAGAGAGAGAGAGAACTGTTGTGAGTTTGAGGCTAACCTGGGCTACAGAGTGACATATCTCAAAGAAAACAGAAGGCAAGGAGGGAAGGCAGGAGCAGGATCTGGAGAGACAGCAAGCGTGAGGACCAGTTTGGATTCCCAGGATCCACATAAATGCTGGGTGGGCTTCAAAGCCCACCTGTAATTCCAGAGCTTGGAAGGCAGGGACAGAATTACCAGAGCAAACTCTGGGTTCAGTGGAGAGTCCCTGCCTCAATAAACAGGTGGGGAAAAACCTCTGATGTCAGCTTCTGGCCTCCAGACACGTGCACACACGAGCGTGCACACAAATGTGAACACGGTGTCCATACATGCATACACACACCACACACACGTCACATGAAAAGGGGGTGGGGAGGATGGCTCAGTGGGTAAGAGCACTTGCTGCACAAACAAGAGGACCTGAACCCCGATCCCTGGCACCCACACAGAAGTCGGGCATGGCACGAATGCCTGTAACCCCAGCGTTGGGAACTGGAAACAGGTGGAGCCCCATGGCCAGCCAGACTAGCTGAAACGGCACACACTGGGTTCACCGTGAGACCCTGCCTCAAAAATAAAGGTAGAAACCAAAATAAGACGGAGGGCCTGCGGGGGCTCTGGGGTGAAGGTGCCTGCCACAAGACTGAAGGAGGCCTGAGCTTCATCTCTGGGGCTCACGTGATGTGAGGAAAGAACTGCTTCATTTAATTTGTTCTCTGATGTCCACACACATGCTGGGACCACAAGTTGACCTATGACCTCAGCACGTACACTATGGCATGATCACACACACACACACACACACACACACACACACACACACACACACAAATGTAATCAAAATCTTAAATACAATGGAGAGCAAAGAGGAAGACATTCTCTGGCCTATGTATGAGTCCTCATGGACATATATATGCACACACATGTGCATACATACACACAAGGAGATGTGTGCATACTGTGCATCCCTTCAGTCACCCTATACTAAATGCCGAGAGACTCTTCTAGATGCTGGCCGGCCTGGGATAGTTTGGCCATCCTGGTGCTCTGCCGGGAAACACTCACATTCTGGAAGTTGTTTAGAGAGGGGACATGAAGTGCTGGGTAAGACCATGCACCCTGTGCTCGGGAGGGAGAGAACAGACTGGGGGGCGGGCACCCAAGAGTGCTCTCTCAGTGAGTGCTCTTGGGGAGTCGGGACCCCGGCGGCTGGGGGGCCTTAGAGAAGGAGCGTGGTGGATCCACTGCCACACCCCTGGGAACACACTGGGAGGGGCTGGGCTGAGGGCTCTCCCCAAGGTGTATCAGAACGTGGGGCTGGCGCTGGCCGAGAGGGGAACAGTCCCCCCACCTGGAGGGGACCAAGCTGGAGCCTCAGCTCGGCCGGCCCCATCTTCAACAATGCCATTCAAGCGGTTTGATTTTCACTTACTACTCACCCTGGTGTGAACGGTCACTAGCTTGATCGCCCCGATAGTTAGTTAGGGTGAGGTGAACGTGAGGACTTAAAGAAAAAGTCAATCTGAAGAATGTGAGTGAAGAGAGAGATTTCAAAGATAAGAATTTAAAATGAGGAGAGATAGAGGAAGAGAGAGGGAGGGAGAGGGAGAGAGGTGGGGGCTCCCATAGTATTGGTGGCCCAGGGATGTCACAGGACCCTGTGCAGAGGATGGGGAATGGAGGTGAGAGGTCAAGCTGGCTCCACAAGGCCTTGGGAACAAAATGGGTGGCAGGCTCTGGGGCAAGCAGAGGAATGCTCTCCGGAGTGGCGCAACTTGCAGCCAGTTGGGATCAAATGGAACTTTCTGAGGGGGTCTCCAGGGGTCGCTTCCTCCTGCCTTGCCTCCCTCCGATCCCTCTCCGTCTTGTTTGGCTGTCCGTGGGTCCTGGGCTGTGGTAGGTGGTTCAGGGCTACAGGTGCTTGTCCTGGGTGGGGCAGGGGCCACTGGCAAGCTTTGCGGGGTCCCCTCCTGACCCCCCGTCACGGCTGCATCTGTCTCTTTCTCCACAGGGGGAGGGGTTGCACCAACTACGCGAGGCTTTGAAGATTTTAGCTGAGAGGGTTTTAATCTTGGAAACAATGATTGGGCTCTATGGTGAGTAGAGACAGACAGACGGCCAGCCAGCCCAGCCCCTGCTTACCAGCCTCCCCCAAACCCTCCTGGGGTGTAACTAGCCTGAGTCCAGTTCTGAGGCTGAAGAAGCATAGGCTATAGAGGCCTTCCCCTCTCCACAGGGGAAGGTCCTGCTCCTGGAATCATCCTTGTGCCTCTCTCTAGGTAGTGTGGGTGATGTAGTTTATAGGACTTCAGGAGCTTGGAGACAACAGAGTATGAGATTTGCAAGAAGTCATGGGCAATGAAACCAGACTCCTAAGCCACATGTGGTGGGTGGCTTATGCTTTTGATTCCAGCACTTGAGAATCAGAGGCAGAAGAATCTCTGTGATTCAAGGCTAGCCTGGTCTACAAAGTGAGTTCTAGGACAGCCAAGGCCATTCGTTACACAGAGAAACCTTGTCTCGAAAAACAAAACAAGAAAGAAAGGAAGGAAGGAAGGAAGGAAGGAAGGAAGGAAGGAAGGAAGGAAGGAAGAAAGAAAGAAAGAAAGAAAGAAAGAAAGAAAGAAAGAAAGAAAGAGAGACCAGACTCCTGATCAGTGAGGGCTTGTGGATAACAGCCAGACTCTAGCCATACTGGGGTCATGGGTCATACAGTCAGAGCCCAAGCCCACAGGATTATGGATAAAGGATGTAGACTACTTGGTCTTTCAAGTCATGAGCAATGCAACTAGATCCCCAAAGTGCAGGGAACTGTGGGTGACAGAGGCAGACTCAGGACCCAGAGAACTCTGGGTAACAGGCCACTTGCCAGTTCTGACCAGCTTCCCCATAAACTTCTGGAGACTCTCCCAGGACCGGCCTTCCTGAGCCCAGGTATCCATCCCACAGCGAGCATTGTAGTCCTAATGTGTCCTGAAGCTCCCTGTCAGGGCTCAAGGGAGCCAGATCCGTAGCCTGGCATTCACCCTCCAAGTTCCCATCCGCCTGGTTACCTGAGGAGCTAGGCACACCCTCTCCCCACCTCACTGAGGTCTGGTGGACACTGGTCCAGACCCCTGCCCCGACGCCCACCAGCATCTCTCTGCCTCCGTCCCCTTGGCTCCCGGCCCAGCCCTTAGAGGCCAGACTCGCACGTCTGCTCTTCTCAATCTCCCATCAGGCTCCTAGCTTACAGAGCTTCCTGCAGCAGCAGGCCCAGCTGGAGCTCCTGGCCAGACGGGTCACCCTGCTGGAAGCCATCATCTGGCCAGGTAATGGCAGGGTGGGCAGGCAGGGGCAAACCCTCCCAGGAAGGGCCTGGGGCAGGCTTGGTCATGAAGAAGATGCCTCCCAGTGCTCGGTCTGGGCCAGAAGACACTGGATCCTTCCATTCATCAAGGAAATAGAGCCTGGCACAAGGAACTAGCTTTGCTGTTCCGGGCAGTCACCTATCAGCACAGGCTCCAACACGGCCAATAGATGGAGCCCTGCCCTTGTATGTCTTAGGGTTGGGGTAGGGGCTGGCACTGGTAGCAAAAGCCAAGAAGAGCTCAGTGACAGGGTAGATATGCCTCTGGCCTGCTGGGGACATGGCTCCATGGTAGAGCACTTACCTCGCATGTACAAGTCCCTGGGTTCAGTTGTCACCATGAGGGAGGGAGACAGTTCGTGAGGGGGGGCAGTCCAGGAGGGCTTCCTGGAGGTGGTGTCTCAGTGAAGACCAGAAGTAAATGTGGTGAGTCTGGCCATCCCCATAGAGAACCAAGTGCTCTCTCTGGGCTGGGGCCTCAGAGGTCATGAGGAGGCACTAACTAGCCTTCAGTACCCTTATTCCCCATAGCTCCATCTCTAGGATGCCAGGGTATACTGCTACCTCCCAGGGCAAAGAGTGGGTTTCCCATGTGAACGCCCCCCTAACATAGAAGGGCAAGGATCATAGGTGACTGAACAAGCAGAGGAAGATCAGAGGTTAAGATGTCTACAGGGTTTCCTCAAGGTTTCCTGAAGGTGGAGACTAACACTGAGCAGAACTGGACTGGGAAGGTTCTAGAAGGCTGGTTCAGGCAGCATGAAAGGCAGTTAGGCTTCGGGCTGGGGGTGGGGGCCGTCCCTTCCCCCACACCTGACTCCTGAGGTGAAGCTAATGAGGCCATAGCTGGTGTGGGGAGATGGGGCTGGCCAGTCACAGGTATGGGCCGCTTCTCATTTGCCCACCGAGAGTGTCCCCCCCTCCCCCCGCACTGGCTGTCCTCTGCCCACTCCAGCCTCTGCCCAGTCTCACAGCCCATATGCACATCCATGCCCAGAGGTCTCCACATTGTGTCCAACCTCTCCTCTCATAAAGCTAAGAACTGAGAGCCTAAGTGAAGAGGAGGTTCAGGGTTAAAACCAGTCCTTTGTTCTACAAAACCAGGAAGCAGCTGCTGAATGCTAGGCTTAGATGGCACTGGGCCCTGCAAAGTAGCGGGGCTCTGGGGAGCGGTCTGTCAGTCACTTTACAGACTCAAAGGGAGTACCCAGGGATTGGGCCCTCCTTGCTGGACTTCTTGGAAGAGGAGACCGCGTGTGGGGTCAGAGAAGATGCATGGTTGTGCCTGGCTGTGAGAGGGACAACCTTGACAGGAAATCTAATGTGAGATAAGATCTGGAGGTTAGAGTGTGTGTTGTCCAAGCCAAGAATGGTGGCTACATGCCTAAGATCCCAGCACTGGAAGGCTGAGACCGGAGGATAGCAAATTTGAGGTCAGCCTGGGCTGCTGAGCAAAAGTTTGTCAACAAAACAAACAAAACAACAACAACAAAAAAGTGCACACAGTCTGTTTCTAATTCCCCACCATTAGCCATATGGCTTCTCTAAACTCTAGAAACATCAGGGACTATGTTTCAGCAGACCTCACCAGCCTTGTCCTTGTCTTAGGAGGGGAGACCGAAGTCTTGATGGAGACCTATCAAGCCCCTACCCTGAAGCCTCTTGGCACCTGTCCATCATCCCCATTGCTTCCAAATGACCTGAGGGACCATTGGGAATCAAGAGCCAAACTCCAGAGTCTCAACACTTTGTCAGACCCCCCCCACCCCCACCCCCTGTATAGTGCAACAGTAGATGGACAGCTAGATAGAAGAGCTGATTAGGGCCACTGTGACCTGTCCTTAGCTGGCCGTGCTTCTGATAGCCCCCAGATGATGGACACAGGCACCTGGGAAAAGCCAGGCCCCTTTAGTAGCCCACCCCTAAGCAGCGCCTTCCATGGGAAGTGGTCCTCTCCAAGCTTCCAACTGTCTTTCCAAGGAACAGGGAAAGGCTTGGCCAAGTACCAATCCTCAGGCTCTCCCCCACTAGAAAAACAGCCTACCCTGACCTTCTCCCCAGCTTTAGGGGCTACCAAAGGATACTCATGGGCTTCCCAGACCAGAGAGCTCCTTCTTGGGTTTTGAAGGATGTTAGTTTTCTCAGGGGGCAAGCATACTATGTTTTAGGCTTGGGGTTCAGCTTACATGCAGATCAGGGCATATCTCACCACAACTCCTTGGTGACTGACTTCGGTCTTTGTTGGTGCCGCCTAGGGCCTCAGAGTTTATCTGAAAATGTCCCAGATTTTAGAAATGAGGCAACTGGGGCCCTGATGGGGTCCAGTTTCGCTGAGGCTGTTCAGGGGCAAAGCCTGACTCTCCAAATGGTGCTATTCCCCACGGAAAGAGGAAGTTTCTTCTCTAGCTTCAGTTAACTTCCTCTGAAGTTTGGATGACGCAGAATTCACCTTCACTCCAAAGAAGTCTCAAAATTATCCATTATTTGGGGAGCGTTATCATATGTCAAACATGTAAATGTGGTGAGTCTGGCCATCCCCATTCGAGAAATCAGGCATCAGACGGCCCAGTGCTCTCTTGGGGCTGGGGGCTCAGAGGTCATGGGGAGGCACTAACCAGCCTTCAGTACCCTTATTCCCACAGCTCCATCTCTAGGATGCCAGGGCACACTGCTACCTCCCAGGGCAAAGAGTGGGTTTCCCATGTGAACGCCCCCCCTAACATAGCCTCTCTCCTCTTCCCTCCGGCAGAACCAGAGCTGGGATCCGGGGTAGGCCCTGATGGCACGGGTACCCCCAGCCTCCTTCGAGGCAAGAGGGGAGGACACCCAACCAACTACCAGATCGTGACCCCCAGAAGACGCAACGAGAGGAGCTGAGGATGGTGGTGGCTCTTCCTCCCCCAGCCTGGACTTGGCCAGCTGCCTCCAGAGACTGCCAGTTCCTATTTATTAATATCCTCAGGGACCCCTGTGCCATCTTGGCCTTAGGGGTAGGCAGGCAGGTCTCAGTGATGTCAGTCTGTACTTGACAGATAGGCAGGGACTGGTCCTGAGGGGAAGCCTCCTCAGAAGTCAGGCCTCACTGCACCTGGTCTATTTCCCTGTGACGTGGGGTGAAACGGCCTTCAAGGGGAACAGTGGAGGCTCAAGGCTTCCAGTGTTCCGACCTAGGGCCGGGGACTCTGCCTGGCCCTGCAGACATGTCAGGATGGGGGCACAAGTCCCAGGTCCCCCCGCTCCTTAAAACCTTGGGGAGTCCCGTTTCCTGGTGCTGATTCCCACCTGAGTCCAGGCTGCTTAGTCCCCGACTGAATGGTTGGTGCTTCTTACTTCAGTTCTACCCAAGTCCCCACCTCCCGTGTCCCAGGTGGGGACGGGATGTGCAGAAGGGACCCCCACTCCAAGTATCTGCTGCAGATGCATGGATTGCTATGTACTGGACAATAAATGTCCCTGCCTGACCCACCCAGTTTGGTCTCTATGTGCTCAGCCAGAGGGTCCACCTAGGCTGAGGATACTGGGACAGGAGCCCTGTGGTCCTAGACACCACGGGTCACCCTCCTGCCATCAGCCACTTATTCACTGCTTGTCCACTCCTTCATCCTCCCCGACGCCAACACAGAAGAGCCAGACATGACAAGGGCCACTCGGAGGCCAGGTTGAAAACATCAGCTTTTATTCTTAGAAAGTGTCAGAACACGCTGGGGCCCACTCCTGCCCCCGGGGGTGCCTTCAAGCCCCCAAGCCCTCAGCAGACTAGGCTAGGACTCAGGCCAGGCCCAAGACCCTCCTCTCTTCTTGGACTATGAGGGCCCGGCGCCCTTGCAGTGGGCAGGACCACCCCTCCCCTCGGTCACCAGGGCCTCAGTGTCCACCAGCCCCTCAACCAGCAGAGACACTGCACCCTCCACACGCCCTGTGGCTGCCAAGGCTACTGCGGCCTGCTCGGTGGGAAATCCCATGTGCTCCAGCTGCTGCAGCCTGTGAGGTGGGACAAGCGAGACGTGTCAGGGCATGCGTGGCTCCCACATCGGGAAGCCGCACCCCTGGCCACCCTGCCTTACCGGAGAGAAGACACGGAGGCCTTGGGCAACCACCCCGAGCTCTGGGGACTCTGCACTGATGCATCAAGGAGCGAAGCCTGGATCCCTTCCTGAAGCATCTGCTCATCCAGGGCTGCCCACATCGGGCTTCCTGGAGCAAAGCTGGACGCAGCCCAGTCCGAGCCCCTCTCCGAGTCTCCCCGTGTCAGCTGCACAGGCCCCAGGCCTGGGGGAAGCTGGGCAGAGCCGTCACTGTGAGACCAGGAGCTTGGGGAAGCAAGGTAAGGAGATCCAGGGGTGACAGGCCTGCAGGGACAGAGGTGGATGGCCTGGGCTGCCAGCCACTGTCACAACTTCCACCATCCAATGCCAGGCCCCTGGTGTCACCCTCACCTCACTCCAGCAGGAAAAGTGACAGGCAGTTCAGCCAGACTGCCTGGGGTGGGAAGGAGCCGCAGTGGCCAGCCCCGGGCCAGAGTCCTGCAAAGGACACTGCCCTGTAACACCTGCAGTCTCCGCTCCGAGAGCTCCAGCCACCGGAAGGCCCCAGCAGCATCTGCCTGCCCAGGGCAGGGCGCAGGTCAAGGAAACCAAATGAACTGGGGGGAGGGGAAGGGACCATGCGTCTCCTTGCTGCACTCCCCAGGACCCCCTGAGCAGCTGAAGCCGAGGACAAAAGGGAACTGCCTACCTGGAACTACTCAGCCAGCACAGAAGCCGGCATGGGCCTTCCCCACACTCCGCTTTCCACTCTGCTGGCCAGTGCATAACCCTGTGTGCCTGAAGACAGGTCCCCCTGGGTCAGCCAGACTTGAGTAGCTGGTGTCTGCATTCTGAACCGGTCCCCTGTGACTGCCTGAAGGGTTGTATGGTCAGCCTATTTTCCCATAGCTTGGGAGCAAAGCTTACGTTGAAGATACCTGTCCCATGGGCCCTAACTCGGTCCTCTGTTCCCAGAGAGCCCCAGACTCGCTCCACCCTGAGCCTGCCTCTTTGCTAATCTTAGCTTTGATGGCTCCTTCACACATGATCCTGGTTAGTGACTTCTAGGGTCCCTTCAGCTCTCTCCAACATCCTATGGGGTCCTTTGATTGTAACTGACACCTCCCCTTGGCCATGAGCTCTGTCCCCAGCCCAGAGCATGGCTCAGAGGAAGATGTGTCACCAGACACTGCTTGGGCATGGATTCCCTATGCCATTTCCTTCCAAGGCACCCCAGAGGCCCAGCCACAGGTCCACATGGTCCCTGGCCCAGGCAAAGGATACAGGCCAGGCCAGCAAGAAGGCCACAAAGGAGCTGCAGGAAGGGCGGCTCAGAGCTGAGTAGCAGGGTCAGGGCCAGCAGCAGCCATGGGAGCAGCCACGGTGGCAGTGTCCCCTGAGGCCACCCAGGGTAGTAACTCTGCCTTGCCAGCATGGCCAGATGGACAGGCATATATCCACAACCTCCAGCTGCACTGGACACCCCGAGGCCTGTCAGCAGCACAGCCAGCAGCCCAGCAGCCAGGGCAAGCAGGGCCGAGTTGTGCAGGAAGCGCAGGGTGCCCAAATGGCACTCCTGCCACCAGCCCAGAGTGGGCAGGAGCAGCAGGCTCAGGAGCAGGCCCGGCAGTGCGGTGTGGCCCAGAGCATGGGTCACTAGCCGGTGCACTGGGAACGAGAAGGGGGCCGGGTTAGAGGGATGGGTTAGCCTTTACGAGGGCCACCTGGTGGGCCAGCCTCCCCAACCAAAAGCCAGTATGTGAACTATCACCACTCATCACTGGTAGAGGGGACCAGAGGCTTCTCAACACCACAGCTACTCTACCCACATGCAGTCTTCTCGCTGGCAACCAGCTGCCGAGGGCTGCTGTGTCCCAGGCCCAGGGAAGCTGTCTGTCAGTTCCCAAATCTTGGCTGCATCTGGTTAGTAGCACACATTCTAATGAATCCGCCTGCTAGAACCTTGCACTCCCACAGAGCTACCTGACCTTAGAAAAATCGCTTCACCTCTCTGAACGTCATTTGGGTTCCTCAGATGTAAACTGGAGGTTTTGTGGGAAGTACATGTTTGGCAGAAAATTTTAGTTCTTATTTCCAGGGAAAGCTGTCAGCAAGAGATGCTATGAGAACTCCTACTCACAGCTTCCCACCTCTGTGCCTCCTTCAGGATCCTCTGCCCCCCTTCACTGTAGATGAGCTGGGCATGTCTGCAGGAGAACGTGCCCTGGGACACTGTCCTAGCCTCGTGACCACCACAAGGTGCACGCTGACTCCACTGACTGGCCTCAGGCCCTAGAGAAAGTCTCTAGCTTCCCTCAAGGATCATGCGGCTGGTCCTCACCCTGCCAGGGGTCCAGCAGCAGCTCTGGAGCCAATGTGAGGCTGGGGCCAGCCCCCAGTAACCACAGGCAGCTCATCAGGAGCATCAGGACTGAGGAGGCCAGGGGCAGTGCCCGGGGCAGTGAGCCAGGAGAATCCCGGGCATGCATAGTTTGGTTGATGGTAGTCAAAGGTGGTCCTGAGGCTGTGCGCTGGGAATAAACAAAAAGAGCAACAAATTATTCTTGCTGCTTTTAGGTGACTCCCTCTCAACTACTTTACCAATGGCCCCACTTTACAGAGGCAGGAACTGAACCAGCAGAGGCAGGTCCAGTAGCTTGGCCAAAGTGGGCTCAAGCCCCAAGAGGTGTGCTTATTAGCCACGTTCCTATCCCACCTGCCCATGTGTCTGGGATGGGCAGGGGCCATGCATAAAGTCCTGATGAGGCCAGTGTGGTAGAGCACAGCTGTGATCTTAGCACTCAGGAGGTGGAGGCGAGAGGATCAGGAATACAGGTCATTAGAGATGCAGACCAGTGAGAGAGTGCTTACCTGGCATACATGGGCACCTGGATTTGCTCCCCAGTGCTGTAAAAAGAATAAAATAAACATTTAGGTCTTGGCTATATACTGAGTGAAAAAACCAGCCTGGATGACGAGACCCAGTTTCAAAGAGTCGGGTGGACCCTGAAAAGGAGTCTCAGTGGGAGATACAGGGCCAAAAAAGTTGAACTGTGGCCCTTCACTGCCAAAAGGATGTGTACATTCCCCCTGGGAGTGGCAAGGTCAAGGCCAGCTCCAGTCTCCCGCTTGCCTCCCTCTGTTCTAGTGTCCAAGCCTCAGGGAACCCAGATGGCTCAGGTGCCCTTGAACAAGGGGCATCACGAGGCCCACCAATGGGACAGGCAGCTGTGGGGAGCCCCTCAGTCCAAGCCGTCCAGAGTGATTCAGAACTGTGGCACTATTTCCTCCCCAGCCTTGGCCCTGGCCCTAGTGTCTGCTCCAGCCTTCTGCTGTGTGTCCGTGGGCAAGTTTCCCAACCTGGGAAATGGTGATTAAGACACGTTTTGCTTACAGGATCATATAAGAAAGGAAAAGATTGGAGGCCCACAGCTTTCTTATCTTTCAAGTTTTGTTTATTTTAAACAAAGTCTCAACCTGGAACCCAAGCTAGCCTGCAATGTGAGATTCTCTTGAGTCTGCCCAGGCTTTGAGTACTGGGTCACAAATCTGCACCACTGCACCTGGTTCGGCCCCCAGCTCCTTCTCAATAAACCCAAAGCACCACCTCATTACTTATGGGAGGCACAGAGATTACAAATGAAGGGCCAGCTAGCTGGTCCAAGCTGGGGGGGGGGGTCCTCAAATAGGTCGTTCCCTGCTCACAGAGCAAAGCTTTTCTCCAGTTAGATTTCAACCCCGACAAATGACTGAGCCTATTTAACATATCAAAGCGGACACTGGTGTCAGGTTCTCTCAGCAGTCTCCGGGTCCTTACCTGTTACAGGGCCCTCCTGGCTGGCATACCCCTCCCCCTCCCCTGAACTTCTCCAGCCCAGGGGGCTGGGCTGCTATTCCCTCTCTAGTCCAGCCATTTTGGTTACCCACTCTCTTTGTATGTTGGGCCTTCCAGCGCCTCTCCCTTCTCCTCCCTGTCTCCCCACATGGCCCAGCTCAGGGTCATGACTGCTCCCAGAGTTTCCTTTTTCTCTCTCTCATTCACCTTCCTCACACCTGGGCTTTCCTCCAGGCCGCGCAATCACTCCTGAGCAGTCCTCTCCAGTCTCCCACTGGGATGACTCAGTTAGCTTCCTTGCCAAGGCCCTCCCTCGCACCTGCCAGTTTCCTAAAGGGAAACTGTGCAAACCTCCTCTGCCTGCGGCTTCCTCTCCTCCGGCCTCTCAACAGGGGTCTCCTACGCTCTGAAGCCCAGCTCCAATGTCCCCTTCCCACACCGCGAGTCTTCGCCTAAGGAGTCAAGTTTGACCTTTCGCCCAAGTGGATTGAACTAATGGAGGAAGGAGGCGCCCTCTCATCTCAGGATACTACTCTTTGCACATATTCAAGGCATTATATGCATTCATTCAAAGATTAGCCTGGCCCCAGGTCCTGCTAGGGTGAACCC